TTGATCCTGTTCATCAATGAAGGGATTAAAGTGCTGAAAATGAAGAAATACTTCGCAACAAATAGAATATCTCCTGTGATGCTCTGAATAGAAAACCAGGAACACAGAATTAAATGTTTAGGGATGATTATATAAAAATGTTACCTTGAGTTAATTTTAAGGTAAAATAGGAAATACAGAATAATGGTATGGGAAGCTTAAAGTTATGAACAACTGTTAAAAAGCTAAGTCCAGCATAAGTAACTAGTGAAAATGTTTACATTTCTGTGGCTCTATGTAATTACAAGGTCTTCCAAATAAAAACACTAAAAATGTGAATGCCCTATAGTGGTTTCTGCAATTGGTAACCATGTCTTTCAAGAGACAACTTTTTATCTACCCTGCTATGTAAGGTAAACAGCTGTATTCAATGGTAACCAGTGATTTTGGAGTCTGTATTTGGGGTTCTAAACCAGAAATACCTAAACAAGGTCTGATGTTCAGAAAGTGTTGAATATTCACACTATGGAAACTAGGCACCTTCACTAACAGTGATGAGTCTCAAAATTTATGCAAAAAAATACTAGACAAGATATTAAAATCACAAACAGTATTTCGGTGTTTAAGTAGGCAAAACCAAAAATGGCAGTAGTAGCCTAAATTCCATTTACAGCAGCTATTCAAACCAAAGGTAGAGAAGTGTTAACCAAAGAAAACAAATTTAATCAGTTCAGACAATCATGTTTCACAACCTTTACGATACATACTTAAACAAGAAACACAACCCACTGATAATACAGTCAGAATGTAATGGTGAAGAGCAGCACTGCCACAGTAAGAGCTCCCAGCAGTACTTTCCCTAGCTTGAATCACATTTCCTGACCCTTTCTCTGGCTACCTAGGCTGCAAGTACTATCTGTTTCCCCTTCCAAAGGGTAAGCTCAAAATCCTAAGAAAGTAGAGGGTAAAATATCTGCCAAAGCCTAAATATAAGCTTCCCCCCATTCTTTACAAATTTAAAATTTAGCATGAAATATTCTTCTATTAATGCTCCAGATTTGAAGAACTGTATGTAATTAATCTACAATTACCTATCACTTTCCACTATGAGGTTCTATCTTACTTTCAGGTCTCGCTCTTAAGTTTACTTATATGTTTTGCAACACATGCATAAACTTTTAATTTTGGTCTTCCAACACACAACATGGAGGCAAACACTAGTCTTCCAGTCTTTAGAGGCACAGTTCAGTTACCATCCCTTTCTAAGATCCTGAGGAGCCCCATCTGCTGGTAAAAGTGTTACTCTAGAGAATGACACACCTGAGCTGATAACTGATTTTTTTTTTTTTTTCAACTGCACCACTTGATAACTTTGGATTTTTTAAATGCAGCTACACACAAAAAAACAAAAGCAAATACTTTTAATGAAAAATAGAAAATCCTCTGAAACAGTGCATTCCTTCCTAAACATGGAAGATATTTATACAAACTGCTTCAAGATGATCTTTCCTGACACTAGGCTGTTCAATACAAACTGAAAACATCAACTCATTTTGTGCAAACATTTTAGTATGACTTACACTGATTCATAAAGATGATGGTAAAATGCACGTTGGTTAATCTGGGAGAACATAAAAGGAAGATTGTTCTTTGCCCCCGATTTAAACAGGATACATACACACACTTAAAAAGCAAGACATCATATAACCCATTCTATATGTATATTTTAGCTATATTCCTGTGTGATATGGACTGTTTAGTCATAGTAATTTAGATGCAAATAATGAAATCAAGATCACTAAATTAAGAGAACTAAACCAAGTATTTGGCATGGAGAAGGAATTAAAAAAAAAAAAAAAAAAAAGAAAATCCTTTCCCAAAAAGGGAAGGGAAATTCTTAGTTTGTGATTAAAAATTTAAGAAAACATTTAAGCACATAAGAACAGATAAAAGATGCAAAACTGTTTGGCTACATACTACAAAAATTGCATACGATTATAGGTCTTTTAAGCACAACTTAAACTACAACAGTCAGTCAGATCTGCTTAGATAGAACTCTCAATTCTGAGAAGTCTCCACTAATGTTGGACTCTTCAAAAGATAAATACTTTAATGCATAGGCTGGATGTAAGGACTGTTCCAACGTATTAACACATAAAAATACTCAGTCACCATTATTCACATGACTAACTGAAAGTACAGTTTTGAGGCTCTGGATTGCCTGCTCTCTCTGATCACACAGGGATTTTAGGCTTCTAACTGTGCTTTGAGTTTTCTCTGAATCAGATGTTCAAAGTGACTAGCACAAACATCCTGAGTGTCTGCATATTCCTATTAAAGGGAAAGAAGACACGCTTCCACTGTCTGGATTTGAACTAGCAATTCCAAGCAGGTGTTTTTGGACAAAAACAACAAAAAAGGTAAGCTGTTGGAAGGTACAGGATCAGAGGAAAAAAAAGTACATCTACATCTGCATTTTCAATCCGTTGTTTTATGCTTACACCAGAAAATGGAGAACTGCAGGCAATGGTAGATAGTCAAAAAATCCGCAGGAGATAAACTACTGCTGTCATAGTCATTAGAGATTTATGGGCTCATGACCCTAAAAAGTTAGTGAAATTAAGTTTCATAACATCAAGTCAATACTTAATCTAACTGTGCCCTCTACTGGCCTGCAAGGTACTTCTCTAAAGGTCCAAACTTTAAAGATGCTACTGCTCATACCATTACACTCTTCCATTTCATTAAGAAATAACAGCAAGAAGCATTCATAGGTATTTCTCTACAGGCTACCTTCCAAAATACAGAAGTGTGTTTTAATATAATTTGTAACAGTTACATTTTTACTTTATTAATGATTTAGACTCACATACTCTTAAGTGTCGCCAACATTAACATACTCTATTTACATTGAATTCCCATGGTTTGGGGCACTTAAAGCAATTCAATTGCTTCAAAAACAGCTTTACTGTTAAAGACTGCTTCCAATCGGGGGTGGTAATATTGCTTTAGAAAAATAAAGTAATCTTTCTTTCTGCTTAGAAGACAAAACAGACAGGCTATTATTTCCATTTTTTAATAATTTTACATTGCAAAAACAACTTTGATTTTAGATTGTTTTACCAAATTTAACACATCCATAATTTCACTGATCAGTAAAATGAGGCTCTGGGATAGTAAACAAACATTAAGCATACGGTGTGACAGTTTAAGACAAAAAAAGTCAAATTCAGACATATTGAAGTCAGAGGTGCATGTAGTTTTGTACAATCCAAGTTTAAATCGCTGCTTACAAAAAAGATCCATCATCACTTTTTGCATATCCCAGTCTTTTCCTTCCAAGTCTGTTCTTAAGCAGCAGCCAAGATTTAACTTATTCAATATATTACAGAACACTTGCAAAAAAACCCAAAGGTACTTTTTTCTTCCATTTAATCTTTAAGACAAAGATGTAAAAAAAGCTTTGGAGAGAAGATGAAGGAGGAACTACCCACAGTTCAAAGTATTCAGACTTTGATGGTGTGATAGGTTATGCTGACTACAGAACCAGCAAAGTTGTTATAACTTAAGAAAATAAAAGATAAGCAACTGAGAGGAGTAAATTTTATTCACTCTATAGATCTGGGATTTTCTCTCCTGTGAGCACCAGTGCTTTAATAGACATTAAGGAGAAAAAAGCAAAAACTCTGTCCAAGATTCAAGAACATCACTGCTTCAAAGATACAAAGTCAGCACATATTTCACAGGACCCCATGACAAAACTGAGGAAAGAGGAAAGGAAAGAAAAAAAAAATTCTAAGGTAAGAAAAATCACACAAAAGCCAAACCAAATGAAATTCAATTCTGCACTACAAATTAAACAGCAAAAGGCTTAATGAAAAAAAAATCTAAATTTTAAGAAAAGAATTTAAGAATATTTTTTCCTACATGAAATCAGAATTCAAATTCAGTTTTAAAACTCCCTCCACTCCTTTGCCTTTAAAAGTATGCCGATACAAAGGGTGTTCTTCTTGCCTCTTTACTTAGTAAGATTTACTTAAAGCCCTAAATTTTTTAGAACAAGTTTTAAAATAATTGTAACTGCTGTTAAATACAAGTTAGGTACAACAAAGCATGCCTTCCACCAAAAAGGACACTTTCTGCGTGCTCTTATCAAAACTATGTTCCTCTGTAAATCCATTCAGAAGACTATTATTTGAACCCAGAGGTGGCATTAGCCCTGCATCTGGGAAAGCATACACATAAAATATTACCCACTGTTAAAATTAAAGTGAGACTCATTGGACTGAATAAACTAACAATGAACTGAAGCCAAATTCACTGAATCCAGTGAATGATTCAACTGATCTAGTTGAAGATGTCCCTGCTCACTGCAGAGGGCTTGGACTAGATGACTTTTAAAGGTCCCTTCCAACCCAAAGATTCTATAAAGCTAGAAGGAAGATGCACTGTAAGCGCAATTAACCCCTGAAACAAACTTAAAGTGCGAACACATGGCAGGACATGTAAGATATACAGGATGTAAGACCTGCCACATTAGTTCAGACGAAAAATCCATCTGACCTGACATACCTCCTCCATCAGTTGTCACTTAGGACTGTCAGAATGGTAAAGCTCCTCAAAATATTATTCCAGTGTTGTCAGTCAGTTGTTTAATGACTTACGGCAGAATCTGTATCCAGACCATAATGCTTATAGCCATTGTGACATTAAAAAGTATGAAATAATGAAAACCTACCATTAATACAGACCACAAGAAATGACCTAGTAGAAATCTAACTTCTTAAGATCTAAAATACTGACATGTCTAACACAAAAAAACGCACATTCCAAAATAATGGAACTGACTGTAGGTAGAGTGAAGGATTAGGTTGCAAGTTCATAATAGGGTCTTGCAAAGCACGTCCTCAAATTCTGAATACTTTGGAACTGTTAAATACACACAAGGATGTTATTCCCAGAAGATCATTATTCAATATAGTATTTTTAAGTTTGACAACTGGTCCACAAAGCATCTTGTTTTACATTACCTTGATTGTTTTATCCATAGAAGCCGAGAGAAGCATGTGGCTTTGTTCTCGTACAGGACACCACTGGATTTCATTAACAGGGCCACTGTGTTTAGACATGTAAAATATTAAGCTTTTGGGGACTTCAGTTAATTTATATTTGGATCCCAAATATGGCTTAATTAATTCAGAGATCTTTCTTGAAGTCTGCTCGCTTGATATGCCTAGCTCAACATCACAATCTGAGTTATCTCTCTGATCAGGTTCTTTTTTTTCAGGCATACTGGAATTTTCTTGACGCAATCTTTTAGGGATATATGGTCTAATTCCTTTTATGGCAGTAGTATTGTCTTTATATATTCTCTTCTGGGATATACCATTTCCAGAGTTTGTTGAAGAGCTTGATGTCTGTTCATAGTTTTTATAGGACATACATAATGCCACATGGCCAGAGTATGCTCTCCTACAACAAGATGATGTCAAATCAGTGTTGTTATTCTGTGCATAAAGCTCAGGGGGACCTTCACAAACAGTGCTTATGCCAGAACTGGCAGTGTTCTTAGCAGGCTGCATTCCATATGTAGGTTTTGTACACAAACTAGCAGGTGCAAAGTACTGGACACGATTCACAGAAGAACCTGGAAGGCTTATTTGTCTGCTAGAAGTATTGGGGACTTCGGCCTTTTCAGTTTCTGCCTCAGAGTCTGAATCATCATAAGCCACCAGCGACGAACTCATTCTGGCTAGACACAGCAGACTCCAGAAATCCCAGTGCTGGAATCCTCCAAAATTATGATCTACAATAAAGAATTGATTATTCAGAGCACAATTTATTACAGAGTCTACAATGTGAGTAACTTAAGGATATAAATATGGTTTTCTTTTTAAAAAATCCATAAATTTTATTCCTGTTTATTAATGGAATTTATTATTCTATTACAACACATTTGCGCATTCAATTATGCAATACCATTTGCCTCCAAGCGCTTTGCATACATTTTTAATGCATTGCAGAGATGCATTTGCATACCACAAAACAATAAAAATGAGTTTGAAAAGGAAAACAAACTTGCAACATAAGTACCGCAAATCACTTCAACCTTACTT